TGGGTCCAACAATCACGTTTTGTTTTTATCCAGATGTTTTAACTTTACAGGCAAAGCCTTTCTGGATCTAGGAGGCCATCCAAAAACCTGGAGAACATTAGATAGTTATTCTAAAATTAAAATTACCATAAGAATGACAGGATAGAAACCAAAAAGTTTAAGTTGTGAACAATTCACATATAGATGGCACAAACGATGGTCCACGTTGATACAAAGTAAAATGTATTATAGGCTTCATGAATATTTATATTAGTTAATTAAAATACATTATACGGTCCATGGATTATTTATGTCTACTGACTGGTATTGTTAGGTAGTTCTAATGAATACAATATGTAAGAGAAAATCATAACCAAATAGAAGCCATCACTCATGTTTGCACATTGAAACCATTTGGGCCGTCCTTGCTACATTGTAACAATAAAAACATCATTGTGAGCACGATTATGAGAGATTTATGAATGTGTCTGGCATGAAATCAAAAGCTCTGGGTTCAAGGTCTTTCTCTGCCCCTTTCTAGCTTTGTGACTCGAAGCAAATCAACTTGTCCCTCCCAAAACCATATTTCAAATACGTAGTAAACCATAGTACAGTGATTTTCAACTGGTGTGCCGTGAGAGGATCTTAGGTGGGCTGCAAAAATTTGTAAAGATCATTAATTAAGTTATTTTCAAAAAAAGTTCAAAGCACAGCAAGTGTATTTTTTACTCTTTTTTTTAATCAACATGATTTAAGTGTGCCATGAAAGTTTAACTATAGCTTCAAATGTGCCATGAGATAAAAATGGTTGAAAAACACTGCCACAGTAGATCAGTTGCTGGTTCCTAGCCCCTCCCTCTCTCCACCTGTTAGTAAGGCATTGTTGGTTACCAGCTACCTTTCTATTAGAAAGAACCTCTTGAGGGCCTTGCTGTGAGTTACATGGTAAATCAGATACCACCCTGCCCATTCCATTGCTTAAAACTCTCTGTTAGTCATATGGTCGTCCTGGCCCCATATTGGCTATATTATTCTTTTGCAGTGTGGGTGATCTGAACGGTGATGTGTTGTAAGTATAAAATAGATACCAGATTTCAAAGATAAGTTACCGAAAGTAAAAAATACAATATAAGCCATCTTAACAATTATTTCTGTCAGTCACAGGTAGAAATGTCACCTTTTGTTTATATTTGGTTTAGTAGAATATATAATAAATATTCTACCTGCTTCCCTTTGATTTTTTAATGTAGTTCTTAGAAACTGTAAAATCACATACATGGCTCACATTATGTTCCAACTGGATAACACTGATGTCTAATATCCCACTGTTCTCAGAAAAGAATTTAAACTCCTTATTGTGGCTTACAGAGTCCATGATTCACCTTTGGCCTAACTCGCCCAGGTCCCCTCATGCCATGCTCCCTGTCCCTGCATACTAATGTCATGATCCCAGACACACGAAGCCTGTGCCCACCTCAGGGTCTCTGCCCTCATGACTGTAGCCTCCTGGAATGGTCTTTTCTTGGTGACTCTACTCATGGCTGACTCACTGTCCTTCTTTAGGAGCCAGCTCACATGTCACCTGGGCCACCTAATCTACAAAGACCACATCCAATGAGTGGTCCTTGATTTCCTCCAAGGCCCTCATTGCCATCCTTCATGCCTTCACCACCAGCAGCATAGAAGCTGGGTGAGGGGAGAGACTTTCCTGTCTTATTCACGGCCACATCTTCAGCTCAGAACCTAACCCACAGTAACTCCCAATCCTGTTTTTATTTGTTTAATTAACTAATTCATGAACAATAACAAAAGCACCTGACTCAGAGTCCAAAATCCCAGGTAGAAAAAATCTGGTGATAATGATGGCAACAGCATCATCTGACATCAACTGCTTACTCTTCTGCCTATAAACAATCCCCTATAGTCATTATGGGGGGCCATGTGGAATAGCAGAAAGGACACAATCCAAAGTGGGAAACCCTGGGTTTGAATTTCAGCTCTGCCACTCAATAGCTGTACGATCTTGGATAAAGCTCTTGATTGTTCAGAATTTCCATTTTCTCTGAGTGTGATGGTCTTGAAGTTCAAATAAGGTAAGAGCTTGGTCAACCAGAGAGCCACAGATTTAGGTATTATACCAAGATATTCTGCAAGGAGAAAGATTATTTTATTTGCCTGGGTGTCCCCAGCACCTATCACAGGGCTTGGCTTCAGGGAGCTGCCCTAAAACTCCTTGATGGGTGACTGAATGCTTTTCATGGCTGAAGTAAGCACAAAGCAGGGAATCTTGGGGAAATCATTCTCTCTACTCTTCCAACCTGGAGAAGATACCCCATTTCCTTTCAGAGAGGAGTGAGAAGGAGGGGACTGCAGAGCTGGAGGGAGGCTCAGGTGCAATGACCACATCTCTCCCATTTTTCTGAATAGTCCCAAGTTGGAATAGTGTGTCCAAGTGTCTGGCCAAGTCTCTCACTATAGGTCCCTGGAACAAGTGGGTTGAGAGTAGGGTTTAAAGGATCAGAGTCAGTATCCTCATCTGGGGACACAGCAAGTTCTCACAGAGAGCAGAGATCAACTCTCTGCCTACATCAAACAGTCTCTTTCCAGAAAGGAGAGAATGGGCCACCCCAAGCAGCAGGTCCTGATTCTCCCTTTCTGAAAACCAGTCACACGATCTGCCTCTTTAATTGTATCTAGAGCCAAGGTAAAAACATGGAGACAGGAGGGAGTCATGTGGTTGGAGCCAAACAGTGTTAAACTTGATGAAATTCATGTTATTGTGTGGAACAATGATTTTTCAAGATGAGGCAAGAAGGGTGGCTGGGAAGGGAGTGGGAAATGACCTCACTGAGTCAGCCTTTGCTTCGTTAAAGGAATAAAGCTCGTCTTTGTTACACTCCTGGCTTCTGTTCCCATAGCTCTGAAGGAGAAAGGCTTCTGGCATGACATCCCAGTTTAGCGCTATTGTTTCTAGGATTTGTTACTGAAAAAGGACTATTCACGTGGAAACTTCCTCTCCCTGGCCAGGCTTCTGTTGGCTACTGTTTATTTACATGCTGGTTTAACCCACAGTCCACCTTGGAAGTTTGCCAGCAAACTTGGAAGCCCACAAAACAGGCCAGGGGTAACACTGCACCATCGCTCCCCCTTCTCACCTTGCCTGCTCACTGCCTAGAGGTAGAGAGTAGAAGATGGTCACCTGGGATTGGGATGGGGGGGTGAGGGATGAAGAGAGGTTGGTTAATTCGAACAAACATGGTTAGAGAAAAGGAATAACTTCTAGTATTCAATAGCACAAGAGGGTGACTGTAGTTAAAAACAATATATTGTATATTTCAAAATAGCTAAAAGAGAACATTTAAAATGTTTCCAATGCAAAGAAATAATAAATGTTCAAAATTATGCCCAAATACCCTAATTTGATCATTACACATTATAAATCATGCACCAAAATATCACATGCACCATCGTTACATATTAATCCATTGATAAATAAAAGCTAGAACCCAACTTCCGTTCATGCACCAAATGCATTCTGAGCCTCCACCACATGTTAGGAGTTTGAAGCTATAGCTGGGATCAAGCAAGATAAAAGTTAGAGCAGAAATCCAGGAAAGAAGAAACAGGCCATTTCTCATCCTGGAAAAGGCAAGCCACAAGTGGAAAGCCCATTCCGGGAAGGTAAAGTAAGAAATCACAATCTAGGACAAGAGCTAAATTGGAGGAGGATTTCAAAATGAAAGTCTCCGGATGGTGCCTGTGGCTCAAAGGAGCAGGGAGCTAGCCTCATATACTGGAGGTGGCGGGTTCAAACCCAGCCCGGCCAAAAACTGCAAAAAAAAAAAAAAAAAAAAGGAAAAAGCCTCAACAAGAGAGAAAGCCCCAGAATGTGACCTGCACCTCCCACACCACACCTGCCAAATCTATCCCAAATGGTGCACTTTGAGACACTCCTCAGTCTCCGGGCAACAGAGTTTTATGTTAGCCCACTGGAACCCAGTTTCTGGCAGGCGGCACTGCCAAGGTGGGTTACAGGATGAAAACCTCCCACAGTAGACACAGCAGTATTCTCTCTAGGATGAAAAGGGCTTATGTTTAATCCTCTGTCAGGCACGGGGCAAAGGTGCCTCTGGGAAGCCAGTCTGTGGAGCCGGCTCACTGGAGAGATGTGGCTTCACCGGCAACCAGTGTGGCACAGCAGGGGGACCCGGCCAATTTTGTCTGATGAGAAGGGTTATGATAGATGTTGCAAGGACACTGCACTCCAAGGAAATGCAAAAATCATATGGAATCTTGCTTGTCCAGGGCTGCTTGACCCCATTAATCTAGAAATTACTAATTTCCTAGTTTATAAGCCTGTGCCCCTGTCTGGGTGAGTTTTTCTGTCCTTCTCTTAGGCGGACCAGTTACTACTCTCTTGGATCATTTCCTCATCTATCCCCTCGGAGTCATAATAATAATACCTGAAGCAATTATGAGATGAGGGTACAATGAGAAAACGTGGCCACAGGATTATTTATAAAATCACGGTAGCGTTCTCTTCCTCACAGACTAGGGAGGATTTATGTTAAAGCAAGTCACGAGAAACCAGTGTAATGCTTTAGAAATGTTAAGTTTCTAAAATATCATAATTCACTGGAATCTTATCTCCTGTCTGATGATTGACGAACTTGCTAGTGATGGGGAAGTTGGCCAGGGTAGGCCACGCTCCTGCAAGCCACCTGCCCCCACCCGCTCCCGCTACGACAGGGCAGAAAGGGTGGGAAGGGGAACACGGCTCAGCATTTATTTTTGGATCCAGCTCACTAAAAATACTTCGTCCCTCCCGTTTGATCATTCTCCTTTTTGACCTGAATGGATCGCGGGGGCGGCGCCGCTCGCCCCACCCTCAGTCCGCTGCCTTTAAAGGAGAAGGGCGTGGGGACGGATTCCTGCAGCTCTAGGGACTGGAGTGCGCCTCCGGGGGCGGGCAGGGGCCGCAGCCGCGCTGACGTCAGGGCGGAGGCCACCCAGAGGGAGGGGGTCCGCCTCGTGCTGGGATTGGCTGGCCAAGAGCGAGCGCCCGTGCGGATTGGCTGGCGAGGTTTTAGAGGGAGTCCCGCTGTCCAATTAAAGCGGCTCCGCTGCGCTCGGCTGCTCACAGAGCTGCCCCCGGGCCCGCGAACTTGGCCATTCAGTCTCCCCAGTGCTTGCTGCGCGCCCTCGCGCCTCTGCCTGAGAAGCCAGGCGCTGTGTCTCCACCCGAGAAGAAGATGGCAAAGGTGGCTAAGGACCTCAACCCAGGAGTTAAAAAGGTGAGCGGAGACCTGTCCGTATTTAATCCAGAGCCTTTCTTTTCCCTGTTTCTCTTTTCCATCTGTTCGCGGGGACTTACCTAAAAGTGATGAGTAGGAAAGTCACTAAATTCCAAGACTGCACAGAAAACTAGTTAGGAATGTACGTTTGGGCTAACAAGCACACTTCTCAAAATGCACTCTTTAAGCAATTGTGTAAAGTATTTGCAAAGGGTTTGTGACAATGCTGGTTCAGATGTAATTAAGGTAAAACTTTTTTTTTCTTTGACAATATTATGGTATGCCGAGTGAAAAACCCAAGCTTCTCTGCCCCCGAAGAGGTTGACTGGAGGTGTGTAATGGAGAGCAAGGAGTCTCCCTTTTTGCCATCAGCCTACTGTTTTGTGGTTTTCTGCCACACTGCACACACAACTTGTGCGCACACACACACCTAAAACCAATGATTTGGGTTGGTGATGTTGGCACTAGCCACCAGTCCAGCACAAGGAAACTAATTTCTATCCCCAGGGTCTGCACATTTCCCTTTCATGAAGGGCTGGCCGGCAGCCCAGAAGGTCATGGTTAAACTATCACACATGGGGCCTGTGGCTGTAGCTCTAACACCCACTGGTTGCTTACCTGAAGGCAGCTGGGAGAAGACACAGGCTAGATACTTAGAGGAAATGTGAATGGGAACGAAACAAAGAGACAACCTAGGCGTTACAGATTGGGAAACTGAGGCCCAGAGCAACAGAAAGTTAGTTCTCCAGCAGGCAGCAGAGTGTAAGGAAAGCCTTCGGCATTCAAACCCGGTCCTGCCACATTTTAACTGCACAGTATTGACCAAGACAATTTGCTGAGCCTCAGTTTCCTAGCATCTAATGTAGGGGTGACATGCCCCACTCCTTCACTCTCCATAGTATCAGGGAGGGAATAGTGATACTGTGAGTTAAACTCCCCACAGTGATACTGTGAGTTAAACTATCGCTCTTACACTCTGATCTCAGGGAATTTATTTAGTCTTGCAGGGCAAAGCCCTCCTTAAACATCTCCCCTTACCTGCAGGGTAGAATAATGGAGAGGGGGGTACAAAAATTCATGTCATAACCAGAATAAAAACACAAGCCAGCCGCCGAGAGGCTCAGCATTCTCTATGTAATTTACAGCTACACTTTTCTACAGACAGCAAGACCCCAATCTTCACACCGAGTCCAGAGGACCTTTCTGAGTGTGTACACCCACTCAGTTTTAATCTAGGCATCTTTCTGGAGTGTACGATGCCTTGTTGCATTTCCCAGACTAGTTGCAGAACCAAGTCACCTCTCCTTCTGTAGAATTCCCATCATACTTAGACCTCTGGAAGATACTTACTAACTTCTACCTGGTAGGGGGTTATGCATGCCATGCTCCTATTTTTCTACACATTTCTGAACTCCTACCGGCAAACCTTACTTGCTCATCTGTGTTCCAACACAGCACACCATGGCACATACTGCAGGACTCAAAAAACTGAGTGAACCAGTGGGAATATCTGTTCCTCTGAGACTGTAGTATTTGTATAGGGTACATTTTATGCCTCATTTTTTAACTTGTTGTAGCACGGTGATATTGGGTATTTGAACTGCCTCCCCAAGTTCTGTCAAAGTAGAAGAGTTCAGGAGTTTAGGAACTAAGGAGGCAGAATTCCATTGTCCTCCGGAAAGTAAAATGATTTCTGGGTATTGTGAATACATATCAGCTGACTGATGCTTGCCATGAGGACTGAGATGATATACATGGGGACCCCCTTCCTCACTATAGGTCTGGCCCACTGCTTGGAGGAAGCCTTGTTTTTATTTTCCTTTGCGTAGGAGAGTGCGATTATCCAGATTAGAGGTGGAACATGTTCTCCTTCTTGTCACCCTCTAGTGCCAACTTCCTTGGCCTGCAAAGGGTGTATTTTCCATTTAGATCCAATTACAGGCTTAGAGAAAGAATTTGGTGGGTAGAGATGAAAGGGCAGATATTTTTTACCTCTTGGGACTGCGACAATCAGGAAAAAGATCATTGCTTTGTAGATTAACCAGTGCCTTCAACTCTGAAAGCCTAGGGAAGGGAAGGAAGCTGAGAGCTGAACCGAATGTTATAGAAGTGATTAAGTACTATGTCACATTGGCAGCATGCTGAAAAGTTTTTATTGCCTATTTATTTTTTAAATCTACAACGGTGGGGGGGGGTTTACAACATTTGGCTTCAAGATGCTTAATCACACGTAGACATTTTGAAACAATTTCATAGGCTCTTAGAACTGCAAGGGATCTATTTACAAAATGAGAAAATGGTTTTAAATGACATGCATACTGTATCTACTGCCCTGACCTCCAGGGGTGAAAGGGTGGCAATCTGCAGCAAATGGAAATTCATAAAAAGATCTTCAACAGAGAACATTACATCCCAAAACTGGAGCAACCTTAGAGGTGATCTAACCAACTTCAGACAGGCTAAGGGACTTACTATAGGTCCCCCTCCCACACAGTCAGAGAGCTTAGAGGTTCCCCCAACTTCTCTCAACCTTATGAAATCAAATGCTCCTGGCTGCTGTTGAGCGATCATTTGTTTTTCTACAAATGAGAAGGAAAGAGAAGACTTCACAGCACAGAGAATTCCCATAGAATGGCGAAATTGCCAAAATTCCTTGTTAAGAGAGGGCCTTGAAAGCCAGATGCCATTTCTTTTAAATTTCAACATATTTTGTAGGGGTACAAGTGAAGTTTTGTTACATGGATATGTTGTATAGAGGTGAGATCTGGCTTTTAGTGTACCCATGTCTTGGTGAAACCAATCGCTGACGTGGATGTGTTCTTCCGCTGTTTATTAAAGATGCTGGTGACTAGTATAGGGTTTGTCCTCTGATCCAGGTTCGTATGCCAGGTCTACGCCTTACTGGTTGCGGGCTCTTAGGCAAGCTAATTAACTTCGAGTTGATATCCTCACCTCACTGGAAAATTGAGGAAACAATGCAGCATCTACCCCCCAAGGTGGCTGTGATAATTAAATGAGGACTTGGCACTTGAGCACTCAAGTTAGCCACTATCAATTATCCTTGCGGGTGGTGGTATATTTCAGCCTGTATATGGATGCTGAAAGGAGTCTTTTGGTGAATGAAAGACACATTTTTGTTTATGACCGTCCCATCTAAAGTGCAAACAACTTTTACCCAGCCAATCCTAAGCCAGATTCTCAGTCCTGAGAAGCTATGACAGTGACCCATGATCTTGCCTTTATTCTTACCCAACAGATGCACAGCCTGGTTACACCAAGCAGCATCTTTCCTCCTGAACATGGTCTGACAGTCATTGGGCATTTCGTTCTGGAGTTATGGAATTTTAGGCTTACAGAGAAACTTGGAGCTCTCTTTTCACTTTTTAGATAAGGAAACTGAGGCTCAGAGGGGTCTGGCTCAGTATCAGAGGTTGCTGGGAAGGTGGAATGATGTCTGTAAGGCTCTGGAAGAATACAGACCCTTTGACTATCTAGGAGCCATTTGCAGGAATTTTGTAAAGGCTAGAACAAAGAGATCTAGATGTTCACTGTTGACTGCGCAGGTGCCAAGTGAACTGGCTCCAAAGGGTCTGTTTTTCACCCCACAACATAATGCCCAAGGAGCATGGAATGATTCCGTCTCAGTGTGCTGCTGGGCGTCTCTCTCCACACTGCTCTGCTTCACACCCCTCTTGGCTTTCCTGTCCTCCGGGCTAGTCCTTCCCTCCACACTCAGCCCTTCCTGCTTTCACCTCCAGTTCCTGCAGTGCGCAGAACTGCTGGCACATCCCCCGGGCAGGCCGGTCCAACATAAACACAGCTCCTCCAGAACTGTCGTTGGCTCCCTCAATCTTAAAAACATATTAAACTGTCACTTAAAGACCTTAATAGCCAAGACATTGGAGACATGCCCATAGGTGTATAAGCAACTTAGCCCAAAAGTAAGCCTTATTTCTTTTTAAAGAAATAAATTATCTATGTGTTTCTTAAAAGATTTCCAAAAACAGACACTCAGGATGTTACCTTGCAAATTGCAGATCTCTGTCTTAGTCTGCAGGTGTATCTGAATATGTGAGGTTGGAGGCTGGTTGACTAAGACCAATGTATCTGTCACCTGTGGTGGCAGGAGTCAGGGAGAGGCACATGGTCTCTGGGTTTTAATTTCAGCCATCTCAGCTCCCAGGCAAGGAGACCAGCCTGGAGCTTACCAAGTCCCCTCCAGGTAGGAAGGTGGGGCATTCCCCACTGAGGATCCTTAGTTTGATCTTCTCTCCACATTACTGACCAAAGGTGGCAAGAAAGAAAATGAATAGGCTGATTGAGCAAAGTCTAGGGACCAGGAAAGAGGGACTGCCACTCAGGGTATCACGTGTGTCTTTCTTTCTAACCCAATTCCAGCCACTTTTGGTGAAGAAAAAGTAGAGAAATGAGAGACAGTTCTTGCCAGAACCTGCTGAAGCCAACTGGGCTCCAGAAGAGGTATCTGATTTGACTTTGGGAAGGAGGATCATCCTTTCATTCTAACTTGCATATTCAAACAGTTTATGTATAATGAAAGTGGAGATTTGCTATGATAAGTAACAGGTCTTGGGAGTTTTTATCTCCCCTCTGTTCATCCAACACTATTTAAATCTTTATTTTAAGAACAGACTTCTGGCAGGGAGGCTGAGTCATTACAATAACCACAGCCATTTACTCACCAGGTGACTTTGGATGTGTCACTTTTCTAGGAAGTGGCAGAACTTGGATGAGAACCAGGCTGCCTTCTGCCTCTAGCCCACTGACCTTTCCTTTACACCAGGCCGGCTCCCAAATAACAAACGATGATGGCAAAGTAGGCCTAAAACGCCATTCCACTGGAGGCAGAATTGTGGAGAAACTTTTCGGGACATCCAAAACAAAGACAGTTGTTGGTCTTGAAGAGCCTTCAGTTGGAAATCTCTCCTAAGGATTTCGCCAATAGCTGCCACAATCTCACCAGGTACAGGGCCACCAGCCAC